TTGATTTATAGTTCCAAGAACTGTATTTATACAATGGGGAACTTAAAAAACTAGAGTGTATGAAGCTACATTTTTATATAATCAAGGTTTCATTACCAAATCAAAAGTTTTAGATGTATTGAACATTCAACCGGGTTTTACAAATGTCGAGCGTTGCAAGAAGTAGAGCATGCGCATATATTAAGAAAGCGGAATAGGAAGTTTTACAGTGAACCAAAGAAGCTAGGATTAAAGTAAACAATTAAAATATAGACAAGAAGAAGATCTGGCAGATGATGCCAGAAATCCAAGTTGTGGTTCTGGTACGCATTAGTTAATAGTAAATTTTTTTTCTTTAAATCACTATTTCTGAGAAGTGTAAATTTCAACACAAAAGGAACATTTTTGAAAAAAACTACGTAATTTATAGCTTTGAAACTTTGTAGATATGTTAACATTATAAAAATAAATATTTTAATGAGAGATTTTGTCCCAAAAAAATTTTATGGATTAATTGTACAAGAATTTTCATCATTTTAAAAATTTTGACGCCTTACTTGATCTGGTATAACTTGGATGTCTAGATTAAGATCTGTGTAAATATGTTATTTACTATATTTTTTTGATGATTTTACTGGAATATTATAACTCTAAAAGAAATAGAACATTTTTAAAACTCTTTATACAGTTCCGAAAACAATTATATGATCACTGATGAGTTAATCCATTCCTGAAAAAGACCAAGATTTTTAACGTATTTAAAGTTGATCGTGTAACACAAATGTAGGAAAATAGCGGCCCGCAGTGGGGTTTACTTATTTATTTATTTTTGTTGCAGCCAAGACAGTCAGAAAACCAACTATAGAGAAGAAAATAGTTTCTATGTTTCAGTCGGAATATATTCGGGAGCAAAGTTTTTCTTGCACAAAGATCAACAAGAGTGAATCTAGGTGCAAGTTGGTTGACTTTAATTTGCATGCTGATGAGAATTTCAACAATCTCACTCCTGTTTTCGAAAATATAGTAAAAAAAAAAGAAAATGTGGTAGGGTACATTTGTTTCATTAAACTGATTCCGAAATTAAATGTGGTTCCAGCTACAGGTAATATCAAATTCGCACAATAAGTAAATTGAGAAAAATATGACTAGTTTTAGCTAATATTTATTGATTGTTATTGAACAATTTATACCTATTCTGAGATGCGAAGGTAGCTAATGAATGCAATCCAGTGCTTCTCAAAGTTTCAATATTTGCGCGACCCAATATTCAATCCCCCCCTCCATACAATAACAATGTAATTAATTCAATAATACACTTTGACAACAAGCTACAATACGACTTTAACCTCTTAAGTGCCATCGGCGTATATAAACGTCTCTCTCAACCAAATCGTTAATTGCCCCAGACGTATATATACGTCTTTCTGAAGTATGATATTTTCAGTGCACTGCTACTGATAAAATTATTCCGAAGACTTTGGGATGCAATAAAAGGATCTTTACAGTGTTCGTGAAAGATTTACTTATTTCAGAGGAATTGCTTATTTATTCTTTTTCTCCCCCCCCCCCCCAAAAAAAAACGTCACTTACGGACAACTGCGTGGAAAATGGAGGCTTTGGGGAGCTAATCGAGTAACTTTAATTCAGCAGCTAAGAAAATAATTATAAACTACAAATTCTGAAGATAAGCGTTAATTCTCATACATAATTTTATGTATATCATAAAATTCCATGGGATCATTGGTAATTATTAAACTTGTTCTTAAGTTAGTATTGTTAAACTAATTATAAACTAGATTGTGTGCAGTAATACATTTATAAGTATATTATATCAGTGTAAACGTATATTTTACTATGCCAGAATGTATTTCGTTTGTTTTGCCCTAAATTAATACTTTTTTTAAATAATATTTTGTTTTCGACTTTTCAATATGTTCGCGCCCCCTCGTAGAGTTATCACGCCCAACTAGAGGGCGCGCCCCACAGCTGGAGAAAAGCTAAAGCAGCAACCATTCGAAATGCTTGCGGCCCTCCGATATCTTCCGCTTCCACAATGTAGTCTTCAAGCCAAAACAATTGCCTAGCTCTGGTTTATGTAAGCCGTAGATAAAATATCAATACAAAATTAATGAAACCGAAGAAAACGCAGAAGTTATTGAACACAATAATGGATTAGAGAGCTATTGCACATAACGAATTGCACGATTTGTAGCGAATTTCGGGGGAGGGGGGGTATGGACTATGCTATCAACATATTCTTTATGATAATTTGATGCTGTATGGGCTTTTATTAAGCGGCCTAACTAATATTTCAATATGACAAAATACTCATTACAACACAAACATACTCATTGAAATCTTTCCAGGAATTGTTTAAAAAATAATAAAACAATGTTTTGTTATTGACAAGTCAAAGTTGACTTGTACCCAATGCAAATAGATTTGAGATATATTACGCCAAAAATTTAATGCTGACAAGAAATATTTTTCATTCGCCAATGAACTGAATGCCATTGTAAAAGAATGACCAATGAGTTTTAAAATATGTCTAACCCCCCTGATTACTTCGATGGAAAAACGACCGTTTTGGATTATATATAAAAATGAAGGACTAATAATACCACATTGTCATCTTTTCTTTTGTTTTTACTCGAGAAGTCTTATAAATTTCATTGATTGTTTCATTATTCAAATATGCTTTAGCTTAATTATAATAAATAGGCTCTATTGAAATTTTTCATGTGTTCAAATTACTATTAGTTATTATTATTACTATTCATTATTTCATAATTTACGAAATTATAGTGATATCTATCATTTTGTTGGTAATGTTTACCATGTATCCCGTAATCCTATATGAATTTTGAGCCAAATAGAAATCATTTGAAATATGTCTTTCCTATTTACTATGTGCGGTTTGATAGATATAATAAAATACCATTTTGGATTTAATAAATATAAATTGTTAAAATTTGAAGAAAAATACTTGCTTTATTTACTAGTTATTAACACTCTTTCACATTTTGAAATCAGTCAAAAATAATGTTTCTTTTTTCTTTTTTTTTCTTCAGAAAAATAAATTTTTTTTTGTTATATAACTTTAAAGAATAAAACAGAGCTTTATGTTTATTTCCTTTAACGTAAGAAAAGGATTGAAAGCCAAAAATTGTTTTGGAAAAATATAAGATTGGAGTTTTAAAGGGAATAATGATTTATTTTTATTTTTATTGCAAGCAGAAGAGGAAATTGCTTGCTTTAACTTCAAAGAAGTAATTTAAAGAATAAGATTTCTATAACGTATCTTGAATTACTTATTTATAGTTTCTTTAATGCTAAAAAATAATGACACATATCAAATATTGGATTTTTTATGGTCGAATTCATTTCATCGCAATCAAAGAAATAATATATGCTAAAGAAAATATTAGCAATATAAATTCATATTTGAATTTTCAAAACATTAATAAAACTGTTTCGGAATAAACAATAAATAATTGTTAGGTTAATTATTCAAACTTGGATCAGTAAAAACATACACAGGAAAGAAAATGTTTAGAATACGTGTATAATATTCTTAGAATAGGTTTAATTGTAAAAAATTATTTATTTTACAACAATTGTTGTAAACGTAAAGATTTCTAACGTTTTTTTTTTTTAACTTTTTCAAAGAAATTGTATTGTTAGATTATGATTTATTTCTTCTGCACATGTGAAATTTGTTAAATATTCATTTGGAGAAATGCTTTTGAACCAAATCATAAAAAAATCTAATTGAATTCAGTTCATATTCACACTTTCATAATTACTTTTTTTTTATAAATAATGGTTTATTTAAAGCTATATAACTCATTTATTAGTTAGCTCTTTAAAATATAGATCGAAAAATGTCTCGTAATTTAACGTATTCATAAATACGTTATTGGGACTCTTAAAATAATACAAACTTATTTAAATTTCAATTAACAAAGTCAAAATAAACAAGGAGCTCCATTTCAAAGTTCCTACTATTACTCCACACTCTCCCTATATATACATATATATAGGGAGATATATATATATATACATATATACATATATATATATATACATATAAGATATCTTATACATATCTCACTCTCTATATATCTTATTCAAATTGTCCGTCGTTAATAAAATAGTTTTCATTCGTCCCCTCAAGTTCAAATACATTTATTTAAACTTGTAGTGGATGACACTTGATGTTATAACAGTTTTTTCAAATATTTTGACGGATCTTTCATTTCATGATGGACATTTCCTTTCACTAATCCTCTTGGGAAATCTTTGGGGCTATTAAAAATACCAACCTTCTACTAAGAAGAAGATGTGATATGCAAATTAAGTTTGTTATGTATAGTTCAGGTTCACGAGTTAAAGAAGTTAGTGAGTGAGTTGGAAAGTGAGATGGTTAGAAAGTGAGTTAACTAAAGGTGAGAAGTGAAGAATACCGAACAAAGAGAAGAATACCGATACAAAGAGAAGAATACCGAAAAAGGCTAGAAAGTCCGTGTGAGAAAATAAAGGCAGGAAGGGATATTGATAAAGAAATTGAAGGATTAAGCCTCAATAAATAAGAAGACTACCTACAGTTCAGGTATTACTCACCGTCATATTACGTTTGATATTTAAAGTATTAAAGAGGTTAAATGGCATTTAGTTATATATCTAGCGTGTAAAGTAATATTGAGGTAGTAGATCGATTATTATAAAGGGGTTGATTTATTAGTATTCTCCCAAAGCGCGACTCTCGTCCCCTCCCTCTGTTGATCAGGAACATCCTATTTATTATAGTTCATTGAATTGTTTTTGAGTTAATCGTTGAATAAATAATTTGAAATTATCATGTCGAATCATCCTTCCCTTCCTTCCACACCTTTAGCTGGGTCTCAGGGTAGACGGGAAGGGGGGTTATTACAAATTCCTTTATTAAATGTAATTAATAAGTAGTAACAAACGAAAATAATAGTCCAACACCATATATAAAAAGGAAAGCTGCTCGTTGAATGCCTGTAGCGCAATGGATAGCGCGTTGGACATATAACTCAAAGGTCGTGGGTTTGAATCCCACCTGGGATGGCCTAATTTCTGAGAGTATGATTTCTTTTTACTATACTATTATTGGAGTATTAAATTTAATTAATAATTAAATAATAAAAAACAACAATAGCCTAACACCATATATAGAAATTAAAATGGAAAATTGCAAGGAAACTCGCTTTCTATTTTGTCACTTAATATTGTGATACTGTTATATGTATATAGTTACATATTTATATTAATTGCAATTATTTAATAAAAAATAACTAAAATAATTTTTTTCTTTTTTGACCTATGTAGAAATTGGTTTAATTATTTTTTATATATTACTTGTTTTTAAATTTATTTATTGATTTTTTTTGCAGTCAGAAAATAAGAACAACAATTGCACATATTTTTGTTTCGCAACATTTAAGAAAACATACTTTCAGAAAAATTTGTTATTCAAAGAAAAAAGTATGCAAAATATGTTCAACATTTCAAGAACTATTTTAAAGTGAATATTTATTTCAAGACTGTATAAATAAATCTTAGATTTCTGATCCGTGAAAACTTACAAAGCCTGTAACAAAAGCAGAGCAAATTCTTAATTCTCTTTTTTTATACACTCTTTTGCCGTAAATGACAAAATGGATTCTTATGTATCAAAAAAGCAATCGATTACTATATTGTGTTCCAAAACATTGACTTTCAAAGAACTAAATTTATTTCTATTCAAGTCAGCGATATCTATCATTTTCTCTCGCTCTTTCCACCGTTATTTGATTTAACAAACATGGACATTTTCTTTCATAAAAGACTTTAGTTTGTTTGAATTTCATTTAGAAATTCTACAACAGTGTGTGTCCCATAGATGGAAAATCATTCTAATTCATTATGTATAAAAGAAATATAGATAATTACTGAATGAAAATAGAACAGAAACTTAAATAAAACAAACACATAGAAGGAAATAAATGCTTGTTCGAAACAAAACCATTTTACTATTATTTTCTTTGCGGCATTGTTTTAAACGGAAAAAATAATTCAGATGCAATAATCGAAATAATTTGCAATTTTAAATTAAGATACTTTAGATATAATTTGAAATTTAGAATATATTAAAAATATTCCATTTTTTGCTCTTGTAAATTGATAATACTTTGTAGGTTTCCTTTTCTTTCAATTTTTTTCGTATAAGGGAAAAATCTTTCCTGGAAATGTTGATTTTAAAGCAAAAAAATGCGTTTACAATAGGAACGTGAATTGATATTGAAATCATCGCGTTGTATGTATAAAATTCGAAGAAATTCTAATTTTTTTATTTCATAGATTGTTTTTCCAATGTATTCAAGTTTATTCCCAAACTTTTTCATACAAATATATACATAATTCAAAAACAAAACGTTCTTAGAAGCAGTAGAGAAGATGTTCTGTGAAATGAATTACTCTACTTTTAAAAGAGGATTGTCGTCTAATACCTTTGTAGTGGTAGAATTAACTTTCCATAAAGTAACTCTAGATTTAGAATAGGTTCAGACTTTTTCAGTTGCATCTTGTGTAATTTTAACATTTTAACTTTAAAATATTTTATTCCTTTATTTTAAACTTAAGATGAACATTATTTTACATCTTCTTTTGTTTTTTAAAATTTTTATGATGTTATAAGTCACCAAATTTAAACTCAGTATAACTATGAGAATTTAGCATTTCTGTGCTATTTGAGACCCTATTTCGTAATTTTAATGAATGTATTCTTTAAAAAAAATCGTATATTCTGTACAGAAATTTCAAACTTGTTTCATTAATTTCATTAAAAATGTATTATTCTACAGAAAACCACAGTTTCAACAAAAAAATTCTTACAATCTTGGTTAATTAGCGCTTAATCTAAAATGCATTTACAATTTAAACTAAACACGAAAGCCTATTTCAAGTTATTTGATAATCTCAGAGACTTCCAAACAGAAAGCTATTTGTCTCTTAATTACTCCTCTCTCCAGAGTCCCTTCAACACTTACTAATTAACCTCTGATCACAACAATATAATTAACTGCGAAATAATGTCACTCTACGCTGGGATTAAATTAAATTTTGTTTCAAAGGCTTGCTTAGTGAATCTTCTTTGATCCATTTTTAATATCTTTAAATAGATCCATTTAACTTGTCTAATCAGGTTTTGTTGCTTTAGTAGGTTTTAACACCCATAATTAAACAATAAATCTATTCAATGATTTTCGCTTTTGGTGTAATTAATTTATATGAGAAGAGTCAAATAAGTTATTTTAGTTACATTTACAATGTGATAATCATGCTCCATTAAATGTCCTTTTGTGTACATTTAATTAATAGATCTTTACATCTTGTTACAACTTTATGGATATAACGTAAAATCATTAAATACCTAAATACATACTTTTCAGGACAAGACGTGTGTAAATAGACTTTTTAAATATATTAGATATACCAGAAAGTTCTGTCCTTTTTTGAATAAAACAAAATAATAAATTTTTCATACTTTGAATAATATAATTACCATCATCATTTATATGACTTCTTGTCAGCATGATAGCGATTTGTATATCCTATTTTTAAAAAATGCCATACCTATAGGCAATAAATTAATTCAGTACTATTTTTTTATACCTTTTTCACTTCTGAATTTTTTGCCTTGTAAAACGTTTTTAAGGATAAAGACATATGATAAGCGACGAATGCAAGGTTTTGAAAGTATAATGAATGCGATAGATTTTCCCAGCCTAGCTCTGTGAGTTTCTAACGAGTCGTCAAAGCAGCATGTGACCTGGAGTTATCATGATGCCTTTCCTATTGCAAATCCCTATTCTCTTTGTGTGAAATTTTTAAATTATCCAATTGCCGACAGTACCTCTTCGAGTTTCGTTTTTCTTTCTATTCTATCAGCTCAAAATGTATTGATACTCGAATGTCCCGCTAGATACACAAAATTCTCTTACTCAGGCTCAACTTCAGCTTAGAGGTATAAGACGCAGATTTTCCGGGTTTACCATATACTTTTTACCTCGCTACTTTTTCATACGTCGCCACTTTTCATCCCCAGATACCATCCGGTTCAAAAAGCGTTCGGTTTTATTCCATGAAAGCAGAGATATGCATATGATGTGACACGATCACTCAAATTCTTCTCCTTTAACTTACGTGGCACCCACCTTGAATATTTTAGCACCTAGGGTCTGAAATGTTTTGTTCAAACCTTTCCACAATCTCCGATGTTATCAAGAAAGTATTTTATTCTAGAAGATAGCAGCTTAACAGAGAATTCGAAATCACCTACTTGAAATTTTTGAACCATTTTCAGCATGTTCTAGCAGGAATTGTGCCTTTAGCAATCAGTTTAATTTAATTTCTATGTGCTTCTGTAGCATATCTTCCATCATGAACTTTGTCGTAGCCTATCGCTACCTCTAAGATTATCAACTCCCCTTCGGGTATTACCTGAATCTGGATGTGTTGGATACATAATAAAGTCACTACTTCTATTAACAAATCAATCTTATTTACTGATCTTTCTTAATTAAGAGATTACACAAATACTATTCAATTTTAAGAACAATAAAACACAGTGGAGAATGAGAAGGATTCAATAATCATGAACGACGGAATCTTATCTGAATCTACGACGGGTCGACGCGTACAATTATAGCTACACACTTATACTTAATTGGGATAAGTAAAACTAACCTGATTCCTTATGTTACGGCAGGTTCGTCTAGCTGCTTCTTTAATATCTGGATTGGATTCCTTTAATGGGCGACTTCTTTCTCAGTTATCTCACAGTTTTTTCATGAACTAATTATATCCACAACATACGGTAGACTCTACTTGCAACGTTTACACTTTAAAAGTCACTTCTCATTTCATTCCATTCTCCTCTCTTTTCATTTCATTCCATTCTCCTCTCTTTTCATTTCATTCCCCCTTTCATTTCATTTTCGAACTCTCTAAACCCGAACTTATATAAAATATCTCATTTGCATTAATCACGCTTTTGGCTCCCGGTGGAGATTGGTTGAAATAAACAAAATATAGAATTTATGAGAAGGTTAGTGAAACGCGTAAGCACCCGTCACAACTTCATACAAAATACAGTGGCGTAAATGAGCCTTATCAGTAGAATAGGTTCCTGATCATGTCTCACTTAATAATAGCATGAATCATCATAGTTCATTTGCTCGGATCACTATGTATGCATCCAGTGATACGAGGAGGCTCCGAAAACTAAGTACTGTTTCGTTTCGCAACCGCAGCGGTAGTATTGAAGTTCAATTGCCCATACGTGTCTCTGGTTGATTGTCAGTCCGGTAAAGCCATGATAGCCGGATTGTATTGTTTTTACACGGGTCAGTGAACGTTCAATATGTTTAAGCCGATTGCTGATCCCACCGACTGAAGGGCATTCTGTTATCTGTTTACTGAATCAAGGAATGTTATGAAAGTTGAAATTCATCATCAGCTTGTAGAGATGTAGGGTGAAAATGTAATGAGTGATGAAATTGTCAGAAAAAGGGTTCAAGAAAGTTCAAGGATGGCTTCACCAATGTTCATGACGAAGCACGGAGTGGGCGGATTTCTGTAGTTATTAATGGTTTGGTTGAAAAGTGAATGTGAGAAAAATTCACGAAAACAAACGGTTCAGAATAAGTTTGCTTTGTAATGAGTTTCCATATATTTCAAAACGTGTTTACAGACGGCATCTTTCTTGAAGACGGTATAGACAAGTTGGCTTCTCGATATGAAAAATGTCTGAACAATGGTAGATTAAGAAATAAAAATATTTCAGACATGGCTCTTTCCTGTAAAAATAATTTTTATGAAAAAGTAAGTGTGTGTGTGTGTGTGTGTGTGTGTGTGTGTGTGTGTGTGTGTGTGTGTGTGTGTGTGTGTGTGTGTGTGTGTGTGTGTGTGTGTGTGTGTGTGTGTGTGTGTGTGTGTGTGTGTGTGTGTGTGTGTGTGTGTGTGTGTGTGTGTCAGATCTGGAAAGTTTAACTTCAAAATTAAGTAAATAATAAATAGAAATAGGG